CAGCCCAATATATGGCAGTTTTGGCTTATAGATCCCACTTTTACTCCTTGTCTGCATTGTATGCGTATTAATTGGTAGTGACAGAGCATTTTGAGTAGTTTGGGTGGCTTGCTCTTGCTGTTCAGATATAGATTGAGTATCTGATGCATGTGAATGACTTGCTGCATTTAGTTCTGAGCTACTTTCAGAGGATGTGGAGCTGTCTGAATTCAAGCTTCTTGATGTGCTTGTTGCTGTATCATTCTGATTTGCATCTCTTGAAGTGTACAAGACAGGGGCATATGGCTGAGAAGGTGGTTCACATTCTATGTTGCTCTTCTGTTGTGTGTTTTGCAGAGAAGAATGTCTTTGATAGTCATTTATATTTTGCACTTCAAGTAATTCAACAGAGGTAGGTGTTGGATAGTTCATCAGTTCATCTTGTTGAGGTTGCTTCATATTGATGAAACCTTTCTCAAATGGAAACTCATTTTCATCAAACATCACATGTCTGGAGATATATACTCTACTAGTGGAGCTGAGACATTTGTATCCCTTATGTGATCCACTATAGCCAATGAAAACACATTTCGTACTGTGGAATCTGAACTTATTTTGATTATATGGACGGAGGCATGGATAGCATGCACATCCAAATGTCTTGAATGATGCATAGCTTGGCAACCTTTGATGTAGAACTTCAAATGGGGATTTATCCTATAAGATAGGAGTAGGCAATCTATTAATGAGATGTACAGTAGTAGAGAAGGCTTCCCACCAGTAATACAGTGGCATTTTAGCTTGAGCAAGTAGTGTGAGCCCCATTTCAACTAAGTGTCTGTGTTTTCTTTCAACTCGTCCATTTTGTTCAGATGTATGAGGGCATGAATGACGAAATATAATGCCAGAATCATCCAAAACAGTGTGAAAGGATCTAAATTCACCACCCCAATCACTTTGAAGGACTTTGATTTTTCGGTTTAGCTGAGATTCTGCCATGTTCTTGAAGTGTTTAAATGCTGATAAGGCGTCTGATTTAGCCTTCAAGGGATAAACCCAAAGGAATCTGCTATAATCATCTAAGAAACTTATATAAAATTTATAACCAGCAGTGGATTTAATTGGTGAGGGTCCCCATAGGTCAGTATGAATTAAGTCCAAATGATGTGAAGCATGAGATTGAGAGTCAGGAAAGGGCAACCGATGTGATTTTCCAAGTTGGCAAGATTCACAGAATTTAAACTCTTCATTAGAACTCATAGGAACATCACAAATCTTTAAAACTTCTTTCAGGACTCTACTACTAGGATGACCGAGGCGTCTATGCCATGACTCTATAATAGGGCTTAATAGTATTGACTGACTCTTTTTGCTACTAGCAGACACAGAATAAACTTTGGCAAATTCTTTAGCAGGAACCACTTCACTGTTGATGCGATACAATCCTTCATTTATCCCCTGTGTAGTAGCTCCTTGCAATAATGTCTTATGCTGCTTCTTGTCCTTCACAAAGCAATTGTGTGAGTGCATCTCAACAAAAATATCAGAGTTATCATTGGTCAATTTATATCCATTGATCAGATTCTTAGCGATTTTAGGCACAACCAGTACATTATTCATCTAAAGATGCTTGTCAGAGTTTTCACACAGCAGTTTAGATGATCCAGTTTTCAGAACCTTTAAAGAGGTACCATCACCAACCATAAGAGAGTCTATACCTGTATTGTTTCTATTAGAGCTCACATTTTCCGGATCATGAGTTACATGATGGGTGGCTCCTGTATCCAGGTACCATGCTGGGTCACTTGCTGATTCAGGAGTGGCTATATAGGCAGAGGCATTTTCACTCTTGTTAGGACCCTTATAGTTCCTGTCATATCGATGGAAACAGTTTGCAACCTCATGGCCTGGTTTTTCCCAGAGATGGCAGTATGGCTTCCCAGATTTGTTGTTATTGTAACGTGAGCCTCCTCTGTTCACTTGTCCACGTCCTCTTCTTCCTCCCCTGCTTCGCCAATTGTTGTTGCGTCCTCCCCTATCATGCTGATAGTTTGTCTGAATAGAGAGATTGGCAAAGGCATTTGAGAGGCTGGTGTTAGATGATGATTGAAGGTGCTCCACCCTTGCCTCATATGTTAGCAGCTTTGACTGAAGTTCAGTCCATGTCATATTCTCCTTTTCTGATAGTAACACCACAATGGGGGTGTATTCAGCATCTAAGCCAGCTAGCGTTTGAGTGACCAGATCCTGAATTGGAATAGCTGCTCCAGCTAGTGTTAGATTATAAGAGATGGATTTCATCTTCGCCAGATATTCTTTCATGTTTAACGATCCCTTTTTCATGCGCTAAAACTCTCCTTTAAGGAAAGTTACTCGGGACCTGGTATTTGCTCCAACAAATTCATTGATTGCTGTCCAAAGCTGTGCTGCTGATTTGCAACGGGTCATTTGGGAGGTGATCTCTACTGTCATTGTGCTCAGAAGCCATCCCAGCAATATTTGATCTGTTGCTTGCCAATCTTCAAAGGCTGGGTTAGGGTGGACCTGTTCTGTAGCATCTAAAATGTACTCTGATGGTATGACCGTAGTGCCGTAGAGAAAACCGTTGAGTCTGTGACCTCGAACTATTGGTAATATCATAGATTCCCATGTGATAAAGTTGTCTCCGTCCAGCTTGACGGAGTTGGCCTGATTCAGAGAGCTTAGTAGAGGAATCGGTCGTGCTTGGATGTTTGGTGACTGGTACTAATACTGAAAAGGAGCATAGAGATATTGGTTTGGGTAGAAGTTCGGTGGAGTGAAGCCGGTGAGATTTGGGGTCGAAACTGACGGTGAGACAGAGATTGAGGGTGGCTGGGTTGGAATCTCTGGGATTTGAAGAGATGAGTTCGGGAAAGTGTGAGGAAGGAGAGTCGAAGATGATGGGTAAGCAAGAAGATTAGGATTTGTTGGTGCGAAGGTGAAATAAGGAAAAGAAAGTGAGGATGAAACGGAGATGGATGGCGAGGCTAATGAAGGAGTAACGGAGATGGAAGGCATCACTGTAGAGGAGACATGTGGGGTCGTTTGGCTTGGGATATTTTGGAGGTTAGGGTTTTCAGAGGCGGCGGCTAGGGTGGGGTTGGTGGTATTTTCAAAGTGTGACGCCATTGCTGACGGTTTTTCCTGCTCTGATACCAAGTCAAGATGAATGAATTAACCAAGGCTCTCAATTGAATATTGTCCGAGCCTATCCTTTTCTATTTATAAACCAAGGGGTGCAATTGCATTGCGACACCTGTCCTGTACAGATTATTCTAGAGGCAATAACCGAATGGCTATAATACAAATATATACTTCATATGTGTATAGAAATAATATTGTTTAAGTACTTGAGATTAACCTTCATTAAAAAGCAAAATCTGAAGGAGAAACAGGGCATTCATGTGCTTATGCAGGTCAACAATCCTGACATAATTTGAAGTGAGTTACAAATAAGATAGTTCGAAGTAAGACACATTAATCAAGTCAATAACAAGTATAAAACATGTCACTCTCAACAAAGAGTGCTAATACAAAATAAGATTGTTTCTTGTTATAATATAAGTTGTTCATCTATGTTTTGTTTTTGTTTTGCCCGATTGCCTTTTGGTAAGGACAGTGGTCTATCACTATATAAATTGTCTTGATAAGTCACAAGTCATTGCATGTATCGAACTTTCAAATCATAGACTTTTTACTACAAGTACTAAGGTATCGTGTAACCCTCATCATCATACTTAGCACCGTCCTACACCTACAACAACGATAGACAAACATCTCCAATTTATTAAACCCAAATTTCTTCAACTCTCCATGATATCCATTCTCTTCTTTGGCTCTTTTTTGAATTTTTTTTTTACCATATTTTTCACCTGCTAAAACAATCACTTTCATCCCATTACAAAAATTTCCATGTAAACATCATAAAAAATTAAACTCAAATTTATCCCGTTACTAGCTAGAAACTTTACAAGGATTAAACTGTATAATTGCATTAAATCAACTAATAATGTGTGAGAGTTAATTAAGACTGATGGAAGCAACTTAATGTGATTCTACAGTTGAGAATCAATTGTATTAACAAACACACCTAAAATGGATAAATGAGAAAAAATCATGTGTAAATAAATGATGGAAGCAACCTAATGTGATTCTGCCATTGATAACCAATTGCATCAACTAAAACTGCTAATTAACAGCACGAAAATTAAAAGATCATAGATAAGCTAAAAAATGTTTCGGTGACATGTGCTATCCATCCAAAAGCAATCCTCTATCACAAAAACCAAGAAGCAATATACAAAAGTAACCTTAAACAAATCAACAGCCAAACAAAAATAATGCAGAGAATTTACTTGAGCAGTTGAGCCTGTTTAAAAAACAAAAAACAAAAAAATTTGAAGACCTATCATAGCCTAACGAGACTTGAAAGCAAAAGCCACAACCTTAATCAAAGTTCTGCACATGCATTAAACTGACAACAAACCTGTCACGCAAATTTTAAAACATCTAAGTTGCTGGAGAGGTAAAAATTCATTTTATTACTTACCTTCTTTGATGGCAACAAGGAGAGCAGCGAATTTACAATCGCAAAGAAAAGAAAAAATCTACGCGTATTGCAAATGATTAGCGATACTCACTTTAGAATCATGGTGAAGTGGAGAGTGAGGGGCTCAAGAATCCAAGGGTGAGTGAGTGGAGAACAGCAAATCGCAAAGGCGCAGTGATTTTTTTATTTCAGTTTTTACCTTTTAACTTAATAAAGGTAAAATGATAATTAACTAATGAGAATCTCTTGCGCTCAGCTTCCAAGAAATTAATTTAATGATTTACTGGGACCTAGCAATAATAATTTATCTTGCCTAGGACCTGAGTGCACGTGATCCCTTTCCCTGCCTTCTGGCATCACTGATAATAATAGAGCGCCCGTTTTTCTTTTCCAAGTTGACTGTAAAAGTAAAGTCATTGTCCTTTAATACTTTGCTGTGTCCAGGGAATTTTAGGATGATTGGCATTGAGATTGTGGCATATTGACAATGGCATCGTCTCTGGTTATAGAGTTAGTGAAGCAGGCCTGGAAGATAGTTGAAGAGGGTCTGAAGCACGAAAGAACAGCCCAAGACCTGGGGAAGACGGGGGACGAGGTGAGTCCAATGTTTGCAGAAATTGTAGAACTGGCCAAGAGGCTGGATCTGCCAGCCCGTCAAATAGAGAGCCTCCAGGATATTATGAAACAAATGGGAGAAGCTCACCTTAAGTACTCCAAAATCCAGTGCTGGGATTGCTGCTGCGCGCCATGTTACAAAGCAGAACTTGACAAAGCTGATAAGGCGATTAAAGATTTCATTTCCTATCGCTTGTCGCTCCAGACGGCCTGGGCTACAATGGAAATCCTATGTCACATTGAGACAACTACTTCTGATCAGGCCTCCAGTCACAGGAAACCAGCCTTCAAGATTGATCGCGAAACATTGATCTTCCCAGAGCTCCCAATCGAGGGACTCAACAGCTTGTTGATGCAAAATTTAAGGTCCTGCCTCTTGAAGGATGATGGTGATAAGGTCTTTAACCTCACTGGTTTCGCTGGCTCCGGGAAGACCACCCTGGCCATACAGCTCTGTGTCGACCAGCAAATCCAAGGTATGATAATTTGCACTCTTTAATTTCTTTCTTCATTAATCTTACACTTTATATACATGTTGCCTTTACGAAATACCTTTAAGAAACAACAGCAGTCTATATAATCTGTATATACAATCTATATGCAGGTTTCTTCAACGGCAATGTCCACTTCAAGTCGGTAGGACCAAAGATTGAAAGCAGTGGGGAGCAATTGGCGAGTGAGCTGCGTGAGAGGAAGGGCTTGTTGGTGCTGGACAATGTTGAGCCTGGCTCAGAAGATCTGGTTGAGCAGTGTTGGAAGCAGATACCGTCAGATTCTAAGATTTTGGTGATTTCAAGAGTTGTCCTCCCAGGATTAGGCAGCCCAGTGGCGATGACGCCGCTGGGTGAGGAAGACGCCGTCATTCTCTTGCGTCACTTTGTTCGACCCATTGGCACCGCCTCTTGTAATTTGCCTGACCGCCGCATTCTCCTCCAGGTAGTAGAATGTTGCGGCGGTTCTCCGATGGCAATCAAAATGATCGGACGTGATCTGCGGGGGAAGCCTAGTGAGTTCTGGCGACAGTACTTGAGAAAATGGTCACCGTCGCAAGGTCTCTCCATTCTTGATACTCATAAAAAGTTCTTCGATCATCTCCATCAGTCCTTGCAGGATTCGGAAGAATATAAAGCCATCAGCGACTTCTTCATGGACCTCTGCTTATTCCCTAGATATCAAATCATCCCTGTTTCTGCCTTGCTTGATATGTGGGTAGAACTTTACAACCAAGACGAGGACGGAATAGATGCCATGAACGTTGTCCACAGTTTGACAGCTATGAACCTGGCCGACAGGGTGGTTCAAACGTAAGTAATTAATTCTCTGGTACATAACATCATGTGTGTGTGTGAGAGAGAGCTGTATATAGTAATAGAAATGAATACTTTTGCGCTCTAATACTATAATCTCGTTACTTGATTGAGCAGGAGAGAAGGTGGAAGTAGCAGCGATGCAGAAGACGACGTGGATAACCAATTCTTAACCCAGCATAGTATTCTCAGAGATCTGGCCAGCAGATATTCAAAAGAGCAAGCGGGCGAATTTGAGAGGAAAAGACTAATTATTGAAACAAACGGGAATGATATTCCTCGTTCCGAATGTTTTCCACAACAGCCGCTTCGAGGCATCGATGCCTTCTTATCAGTGTTGAAAGCATCAATATTGCAGCGACGGGTAGCTGCTCGTATACTATCCATAACTCCAGGTTCATTCTCTCTCTCTCTCTCTCTCTCGATTTCTCATTGTTCGCTTTTCTGTACTTGATTAATGCTATATATATATATATATATATATATTATATCCCAGATCAAAATGATACTCCAGAATTGCGCTCCATTATTCAAGGCGCTGAAGCTCAAGTTCTGGTTTTGAATCTTTGTACTCATGAGTATAGGCTGCCGGAAGTCATTAAAGAAATGAAGAACCTCAGAGTTCTCATTGTGATTAATAATGGTTTGCGGTCTACTCAGTTCGGAAACTTGAAACTGCTTGGTTTCCTAAAGGCGCTTAAAAGAATCAGATTGCAGAATGTTTCAGTTCCTTGCCTTTGGGAAATGAAGAACCTGCGCAAGTTATCACTTTACGCATGCGAGGTGAATCCGGCTTTTGAGAACAGTTCCATGAAAATCTCCGAAGCCATGCCCAATTTGGTGGAGCTGAAAATGGAGGACAGTCCAGATTTGGTGGAGCTGCCTGCTGGGTTCTGCGATATTGTCAGCCTGAAGAAGCTCAGCATCGTTAAATGCCGCTGCTTTACGACACTTCGCCAAGAGATTAGGAAGCTTAGGAACTTGGAATTCCTGAGGATTAGTTACTGTCATAATTTTAAGGAAATGCCAGAATCAGTCTCAGAGCTCCAGAGCCTAACCTTTTTGGACATCTCACACTGCCGAACCCTAGGAAAATTACCTGACGACATTGGCAACTTGCAGAGCCTAACAGATTTTTATATGTCGGATTGCCTCAAGACAGATGACTTGCCGAGCTCCATCATGAACTTGACGCGTTTACAGAAGGTGATATGCGATGAAAATACATATCGTTTCTGGGAAGTTGTCAAGATTTCCATAGATTTCGATTTGGAAGTAAAGACAGCCATTGGCATGCCTTAATAAATAAAATAGGCTCCAGAGTGAATGGGTTTGAAGGGGACGATGAGGATGAAGATTGATGCCACTGTTAATCTGTTAGTTAATGTCCGTACCTTAAGGTGTATAACTGAAAATAATACCGCCGCTATAAAGCATTCTCCTTGGTCAGTGTGTTCCACAACAGTTCATACGCTTCCGCTGGATCCATTTTCTTCAATACCAATTCAATTTCCTCGACCAACTCCACCTTGTATCATTCTTTTGGTTTTCTTAAATGCTTACGGGCTTTACTGCTGACTTTTGTTCTTACTATAAGAGTTAGTTGACTAATAATTTGAATAGATTAAGAAAACTAGTTAAATTAGTTATTTGTAATAAATATGTGTTGTCTTTCTTAAAGTATTTTTGCTAATCAAGTGTATTACCTTGAAAAAAAATAAATATGAGAGACAAAATAGATTGAGATCTTATATTTAAGAACAAAATAAAAGTTAAACAAGTTCTTATGTTAAAAACCAGAGGTAGTAATAATTTACGCATTATAGCTTAAAACCAAGGCTCTAGCTTAAATACTTGACTGTTTTCTCTGTCAAGTGTTGTTTGCCAATTAGCGCCACATTCTTTCATATTTTTTTTTATAACTATCAAATATTTGGTGTCAAGTATTTATAGATTTGTAGTAATGACAGCTAGTATAAATATACTTGGTTACCAATAGTGCATGTTGCTCTTATGCTTGAACCGGATAATGTTGATGGGATTGACTTGTAAACAAGCTTATAAATGTAAAAATTGAGCTGCGGATGAATTAAAATTTGGAGGAACAAAAGATTAAGTTTTCCTAAATTAATTGTAACTTTTATAATAAAATATTGTACCGAATGTTCGAATCGATTTTATCAATACAATGATTATATTAAGTATCCAATTTATCGATGATTAAGAGAAGTCAAAGTCTTCGATTATATAGTCAGTCACTATTCCACCTAACTGTCCAATGACTTTTGTTCAACTCGTGATTACTCAGTACAGTCTTCTCAATATAAGAGCTAGTTGACTAATTTAAGTATATTAAAAAAGTTTACTAAGCTATTTATTTGTAATAAATGAGTATTATTTTTTTTGAAATGCCCTTATTAATTATGTACCATTTGATGGAATATTTAATATGTGTAACTATTATAAGAATTATTTTTTAAAAAAATAAATAAATATAAGAAACAAAGTGGATGAGAGTTTTATATTCAAAATCAAATTAAAAGTCAAACTAGCTTTTATATCAAAGAAAGAAAATAGTATAACTTATCATACATTATTGGTTGATGAAAAATTTAGACCGGAAAATGTTACCCAAAAAAACAAAAAGAGCAGATGGGAAAAACAATTTGAAAGAGAAAGGAGTTAGACTGTTAAAGGCCGCCCTATGAAAACTTTTGTTTTTGGACAAAAACATATTATTGGAGAAGTTAAAGTTACTGTCTATTTAACTTTTTTGCCAACAAAAACAATTATTATTCTTCCCCAAAACGACAAGTGCGGGTAGCAGGTAAATGGATAGAGATCAAAGCGAGCAAAGACTAGGACCCATCATTAATTAAATAATCTTGACACATAAATTTAAGAATTGGTTGAGAAATTTTATTTGTCTTAAATATAAATGTTTTCTCATAAAGTGCTCCAAAAAATATTGTTCATGTTATAAAAAATTGGTCTTAAATATAAAATGACACCAAATGCTTAATTATTCCATAGGTGTAAAAATAAATTTAAAAGATGTGCTTTTTTTTCCTGTAGTTAAGAATATTAGCTCTCTTTTTAATAAAAGAATATTAGCGATTTAGCTCTGTTAATTCTTCGGAATAGATATATGCATTTTTTTTTAAATAAAAAAATAGCTTTTGATATCTTCCGCGTTTTTTCCGGTACTACTGGGACGAAGTCGAGCTTACAAGATAATTTGTCAAATGTGTTGACAAAGTGGACAATGGCTTATTAGATGTTGTCATCAGAATTCATAAACAAATCGTTCAAAATAAATTAATTAAAATAATGAATACATTGGCAGATCGAAGGGGGAAGGCCAAAAAACAAAAAGATATAATTATCTAATTTTTATACTCGTATTAAGAATCGGAAGTAGTATTATACGGAAAAAAAACATACATTTTAAACACGTATGTAATAATAATAGTCGTATAGCTTTCAGATATTTGTTGCATATTTTTAAATTCATAATTAAGCATTGTACATTCAATGCTATGCGAATTGAAAGTAATGAATATGCTACCTCCGATCCTATCGTTTTTATAAGATCTAAATAAATGAATTGAATCAGGTCAAAAAAAAAAAAGAATAAATGAATTGAATAGTTTAAGAAATTTGTTAATATTGTATTTCTTTTGATGTGCCCTTATTTACAATAGAGTGAATGGGAGAAATAATGAGAAATTTTTTTAAAAGAGAATATATAGGAAAACAAATGCAATTAATTCAGATAAAATTGATAAAAATACATTAAGATAATCCCAAAGTGAATATTGTGAAGTGAATGGCACTGACAATAGGCCGCTTATTCAAACGACAACTAAGAAGGGAAACAGACACCCGAAACAACCTGAGATCAAGGTTTGCCAGTTCAAATGAAGAAAGTTTGGAAGCGAAATTCAGCAAAGCCAATTTAAGCTAACATCCATGTCGGCCACATTTATGTTTGGTCTACTGGAAAAGCGAGATATGATAACTTCCCACAAGGGAGATGCATACTCATCGCATATCACCCTTTCTAACTTGTTAAAATCCATCATTGAGTCTGGCAATTCTCGTATTGGGCAACCCGCCATGTAAAGCTTTGCCAGATTCTGCATCTTACCAATATTGACTGGTAATTTTCTAAGGCTTGGGCAGTATGAGATGTCCAGACTGGTTAGGCTCTGGAGCTCTGAGATTGACTCTGGCATTTCTTCAAAATTAGCACAGTAATTAATCCTCAGTAATTCCAAATTCTCAAGCTTCCCAATCTCTTCATGTAGCCTGACAAAGTCGTGGCAACTACTTATGGTGAGGTTCTTCATGGTGACCATCTTGCAGAATCCAGTAGGCAGCTCCACCAAATCTTTACAATACTCAATGCTCAACTCTACCAGTTTTGGCATTGCTTCTGAGAAGTCAATGGAACTGTTCTCAAAAGCCTTCTTCACATCACACATGTAAAGTGATAGCTTGTGCACATTCTTCAGATCACGCAGGGAGGGAATTGAAACTTGCTGCAGTCTGATTCTTTTAAGGCTCAGTAAGGAACCAAGTAGCTCCAGGTTTCTTAGGTCAGTTTTACAAGCACCATTATTGGTGACTATAAGAACTTTCAGGTTTTCCATTTCCTTAATGAATTCTGGTAAAGTGTATTCTGCAGTCTTGAAAATATTCAAGACCAGAACCACTGTTTTGGCTGCTTGAATGCTGCACCAATGTGGAGTGATGTTTTGATCTGCATCAAATTTTCAAGATGACGAACGCTTTCTTCTTAGTTATTTAAACTTAGAGAATTTGCATAAAAACAGAATGAAAAAGAAAGGGACCTGTTGATATTGACAGGATTTTAGGAGCAACTACACTTTGTTGTTGCTTGGGCCACCATTCTGGAGGATGATTCTGACTCCCAAACATATCAATGATCAGTCTCTCTCTGTTCTCTAATGGTTCCTGTTTGCTCATATGGATGGCTAGCTCTCTGAAAAGATCATGCTGCTCGAGGAAGTAGTTATTGTAATAATCGTCCAGGTCTTCCCTTCCAACTATCCTGCTTAAACCAGAATGTGACTAGAGAATTAACAAGTCTATGAAAGAGAATAATGCAGAGCAGGCGTACTTGTACCTTCTAACTTTGATATCAGCAGCCAAATTCATGGCTACTAATTCTTGGGTGATGGCCATTGCTGGTAAGCTTGCTGGTTCATTTGGGTGATGCAGTTCAATCCACATGTCTATGAGTACAGTAATGGGGATTTTTTGATCTTCAGGGAATAACCCAAGGTCCATGAAGTAATCCCTGTGGGATTCATCCACGGAATTTTGCAGACGAGTAAGCAAATCTTCATGGGAATCAAGTATAGAGTGACCTCGCGACCATTCTAACTGCACCTCTCGAACTGCTTGAACAGAACCCTTCCTTCTCAGTTTACGACCAATGAATTCAATAGCCAAAGGTAAACCCTTGCATCCTTCAAGTACCTGCATTTTAGTGATCAGCCAAATTCCATTAGAGACTATTTGGTTCCCCTTTTGTCAAAAATATGTTCGGCTGTTATGAAAAAGCAGTTGCTCTGCTTTGAAAGCAAAATCAGTAACCTATTTCAGCACATGTATTTTTCACTTTTGTATCTTATAAATGTGAACTCATTTTAATTTTGATTCCTAAAATTTGGTTTGATTATAGTTTTGTCCTCACTTCAAGGACTAAAAACACTGTTTCAAAGATGACAAATTTTTAGAAGAACTAAAATAAAGTTAAATTTCATGAATTAAAACTACCGATTTTAAATTTCAGATAACAAAAACAAAGTGAAGTCAAATTTCAGATTGTCAAAATCATTACTTTTAAATTTGAGGAACCAAAATCAAAATCAAATCAAATTTTAAGGAATAAAAATGGTATTAAAATTTCAATGTTTCTTATTATTATTATTATTAATCAGGTATTATTGCATCATTTTTCACGGTTGATCATGAACAAAATTGGATCATAATATAATACTCCTCCGGTCTTTAATATAAAACCCATTTAACTAATTTGATTTGATTAAGGATGTTAGGTAATTTAGTTAATTATAAGAAATGTGACATATTTTTTCTAAAATACCATAATCATCTTTTTTAATATTCCATCTTCCTCTTTTACTTGATTATGGTTGAGGGAGTAGCCATAAGGGTAATTTAGAGAAAATTAATAAATATGATAAATGGGTCTTATATTTAGGATCAAAACCAATTCAATAATTAGGTCTTATATTAAGGACCGGAAGAGTACTTTATTATGTGCAATTACAACTTGCTAAATCTACAACACTTGCCTAATAGACGTTTGACCTCCATTATAAATTGAAACTTCTTTATTGGGTTGAATACTTTTGCCATTCAACCTTACTTTATTTACGAGGTTGGCCGTAGACTTCTTTATCTCAAGTGATTTATGTAGAAAATTAGGAAGTATATAAATGCATGTCACCTGGAGGAGAATTTCACTTGTAGCTTGGTCATCAAAGTCGATGTCACCCGATTGAAGGAAGTGACGGAGCAGTTTTTCTGCATCTTTGTCGCTGAGCAGTTTCATGAGGTGTCGGCTTCCAGCTGCTTTCATCTCGGTTCTTGAAGTCACCAGAATTCTCGAATCTTTGTGTTTCAGACTCATCATTTCAACAATATCTTCTGTGCGAGGCCACACGTCGTCCAATACCAACAGTACTGGATTTTCCCCATATTTAGGCAGCTCGTGATCCCGCAACTTCTTCACTGCTTCCTCCACTTCAATCTGTGAACCCAGAGTCTCAAAGAAGATATTTTTCTTGAATTTACCTGCCAAACCAGACAACAAGACGACAACTACAGAACATGATGATTGTGATCAATAGTACAAACATGGGAGACTACCTTGGACTTGAGGATCACGACAGAGCTTTTGAGCCATAGTGGTCTTCCCGGATCCTGGCATACCATACAAGTTTATAACTTGCTCTTTACCAGTAAGCAGGTTCTTCCTCAACTCTTGCATCGAATCTCCATCCAATCCCACCGTAAATTTGGGGAATCTCTCATCAAGAGGATCCGCGAATCTATATGCGTAATTGGTCCGGCGTCCAAGGCTGGGAGGACCTTTCGAACTCAGCACAGAGAGGATTTTCGTCAGAAGATGAAACATGTGAATTTGTGTCTGAGCAGAGGCGAACCTTTCCAAGTCGGCCGCCTCTTTTTCAAGTTTCTGCTGATACCATGGCGCAAGCACGCAATTCCACCAATGGATTTTGTGCTTTCCAATGGCCTCGGCGTTTTTGGCCAATAGCTTCTTCAGTTTCTGCACATGTTTCAGTTGAATGGGGAGATCAAGCCGCGTCAAGGAATCCTCGATCCTTTCAACCACTGGACTCAAATCGTTGACGGTTGCCTCCAGACTTTCGCGAGTGCCATTGTATTCTAGGCCTCTTGTCACTATAGCCACACCATCTTTCGCTAAATCCCAAGCAAGCGAAGCGTAGTCTACCATTAGTGACGAGCTTGGTTTCTGCAAGTTTCAATCTTGATTTGCCCGTGAATGGGAGTCTTTGCAAAGTTTGAGTTATAAAAAACGAAGACGACAGAGTCTTGAAGCAGACCCAGCAAAGTCAATTTGGTATGTGCGTGATGATAGAGCCCGAAAATTCCACGAAATCATAACATTGTTTCTAATTTTCCACGACCATTGAATGCAGAGTCAAAACGGAAATTAATTAATATATGACTAGTTGTAGTTTTTTAATCTGATATTCATTGTTTTTTAAAAAAAATTGCAAAAAAAATCTTAGAAATAGAAATATTGTAAATAAGGACTCTTTATAACATCAGTATTAATTTTGGCAACAATTGATAAGTTAATGACAACAATTTTTGTGAAGTGGTTCCTCTATGCTATTTTTTAATTTCCAAAATTTGTTTTGCAATTTTTTTTCTCTTTTTCCATTGTATTGTTTTTTATGCTTTCCTTTATGTGTATTAATTTACACGTACTCACAGTGGGTTAATTTGTAAGAGATATGGCGGTAAGTGACTCTGACTCATAATGTATTGGGATTAATTTTGATACGTGGAACTAAATAAAATTAAAATTAATCATATTACAAGTTATATATGTAAGAAGATGATTTCGTGCACAATAAATTTTTATTTTTTACTTTGATAATAAATAGATATTATTTCGTTATTTTATTTTTGAAATTTTTTTTGTATTTTGTGAAAATTAAATGTGGTTTAATTAATATTTACATCACTTTTAATTAACAAAGTATGAGTATAAAAATTAATACTTGTAATTTAAAAAATATAACCGCGAAAGAATTAATTTTACGACCAAGACGAGGACGGAATAGAATCAGATGCCGCACGCCGTCCACCGTTTGACAGCTATGAACTTGGCCGACAGGGTGGTTCAAACGCAAGTAATATTCTTTAGTACATAACATCATATAAATATATATATATATATATATATATATATTTTTTCTTAACACTTAACACTTAGTTGACTAATTTAAAAAATTTACTTAAATTAGTTATTTGTAATAAATAGATGTTATTTTTTTAAAATATTCTTATTAATTATGTGTGTTTAAACTATAAATTGATAGTATCGCTTTAAACATATTTGAGTTAAGAATCAAAAGTGATATACTACTTTTGGTCCTTAATATAAGAGCTAGTTAACTAATTTGAATAGATTGAGAAAATTAGTTAAGTAAATTATTTCTAATAAATAGCTGTTAATTTTTCTAAAATATCGTTACTAATCAAATATATTAGTTAGAACTACTATTATTATAAAAATTATTTAAATAAATAAATAAATATAAAAGATAAAATATATTAGAATCTCATATTTAAAATAAAATATAAAATAAAATAAAATAAAGTAGTATACAGTACTCGTTGGGTTTCAAATGTAAGGCCCATGCACAAAGTGGGTCCTACGTTTTGAACCGGAGGAATAATACAAATGAATACTTTTTGCGCTCTAATAATCTTGTCACTTGGTTGAGCAATAGATGAAGCGGAGATGGCAGCGATGCTGAAAACGACGAGGGTAACCAATTCCTAGGCCAGCATAGTATTCTCAGAGATCTGGCCAACAGATATTCAAGAGAGCAAGCGGCCGAATTTGAGCTGAAAATTGAGGACAGTCCAGATTCGGTGGAGCTGCCTGCTGGGTTCTGCGATACTGTCAGCCTGAAGAAGCTCGGCATCGTCAAATGACGCTGCTTTACGACACTTCCCCAAGAGACCAGGAAGCTTAGGAACTGTGTCATTGTCTTCAAGTCAAAGGTAGTCTCTTATGTTTGTCCCATCGATTACAGTCATCATGTTGATATTTTATGCATTCACTTAGTTTCCTCTATTCATGTTCGTCTAACATCATCCCTGAAACTGGGACTTTCGACAAACATTCCTTCTTGTTTGGTGTGGCAGGTAAATTCAAGAAACATATCATCTTTGGGATGTTGGGTTCACAGATTCCGGTCGATGAAGCAATCAACATGTTGCAGGATCAGCTGTCTGAATATGAGGAAAATCCACTACTGCTGGTGTTGGATGATGCGGGCCTCACTCAGAAAACTCTGTTGAAATGATGAATCTAAGATCAGCAGATTCTAAAATTTTGGTGATGTCAAGGGAAACCTTTTGAAGCATTTCAAAAGGTGCAGTTAGAATGGTCGCGGGGTCACTCCATTCTTGATTCCCATGAAGACTTATTTGCTCGTCTCCAGAATTCTGTAGATAAATCCATCAGAGTATTCTATGGACCTTGGGTTATCTCCTCGAGATCAAGGAATCCCCATTACTGCATTGATGGACATGTGGATTGAACTGCTTGACCCAGATGAACCAGGAAGCTTAGCTGCAATGCTCACCATCCAAGAATTAATAACCATGAATTTGGCTGCCGATATCAAATTTAGAAGTAGAAGTACGCTACTCTGCATTCCTTTTCAGTACTTGTTAATTATATGTAAAATTAATAAAAATATATATAATGTTCACATAATTCCAAACGGATAAAAAGATAAGAGGAAATATTGTTTTCAATATGGTTCATGTATTTTAAAAATTTGAGCCTTTGGTATTGATGAAATTTAATGAAAAGTACTAAATTAATTTTTTTTTTTTACATTATGTGTTAAGGTTGAAATTAAAATTAAGTCGTAACCGCGTATGGTTTCTGAAACGGAACTTGGAAATTTTCCAATGGAACTCATTACCTCATACGATTACACCATCATTCCATTCTCGCAATAAAGTTTCTGAATTTATTGCGCATGAACTTTCACTCTAGACCTTGAATCTTAAAATTCTCGATTATTTTTTTCTGGGAAAAACCAGTTTGGATGAGCACCATAATCTCATCGGATCTGAATCATTCATATCTCATTTGGATGGTCCAGATTTGATTTTTTTATTTTTATTTATTCAAAATAATTATTTTAATTTGTATAGGATTTAAAATAGTAATGATCTCTTAACTAATATTTTTTTAAAAAATAATTTTTTCTATTTAAAAATAATTTATTAAAAATTTTAAATCTGAACCGTTCAAATCAAATATAGACGGTTCATGTCTGATAAGCTTAGAGTGCTTATCTAACTGGTTCGGGGGTGGGTGGATTATATATTCCATTGTACACAAATATCTCATAAACACCTTGCATCACACCATTTATATATTCCAGAATACACAAATATCTCGTAGTTTTCAAGAAATACACAATTGTATTACAACTTTGCGGCATAAGTCGCTTATTCAAACGACAACTAAGAAACGAAACAAACATCCGAAACAGCCTGAGATCGAGGTTCGCCAATCCAAATGAAGAAAGTTTAATTTGGAAGCGAAATTCAACAAAGCCAATTTAAGCTAACATCCCTATCGGCCATATTTATGTTCAGTCTGGAAAAGCGAGAGCTGATAGCTTCCCACAAGGGAAATGCATCCTCATCACATATCACCCTTTCTAACTTGTTAAAATCCATCACTGAGTCTGGCAATTCTCGTATTGGGCAACCCGTCATGTAAAGCTTTGTCAGATTCTGCATCTTACCAATCTTGTCTGGTAATTTTCTAAGGGTTCGGCAGTATGAGATGTCCAGAATGGTTAGGCTTTGGAGCTCTGAGATTGATTCTGGCATTTCTTCAAAATTCGCACAGTTATTAATCCTAAGTAATTCCAAATTCCCAAGTTTCCCAATCTCTTCATGTAGCCTGATAAACTTGTTGCAACCACTTATGGTGAGGTTCTTCATGATGACGATATTGCAGAGCCCAGTAGGCAGCTTCACCAAATCTTCACAATACTCGATGCTCAAGTCTTCCAGTTTTGGCATTGCTTCTGACAAGTCAATGGAACTGTTCTCAAAAGCCTCCTTCACATCACACATGTAAAGTGATAGCTTGTGCACATTCTTCAGATCACACAGGGAGGGAATTGAAACTTGCTGCAGTCTGATTCTTTTAAGGCTCAGTAAGGAACCAAGCGGCTCCAGGCTTCTTAGGTCAGTTTTGCAACGTTTATAATTGGTGACTATAAGAACTTTCAGGTTTTCCATTTCGTTTATGAATTCTGGTAAAGTGTATTCTGCAGTCTTAAGATTTAAGATCAGAACCACAGTACCGGCTGCTTGAATGTTGCACCAATCTGGAGTCATGTTTTGATCTGCATCAAATTTGGAAGATGATGAGCGCTCTCTTCTTGCTTATTTTAACTTGTAACTGAGTAAATTTGCATGAGAACCAAAAAAAATAAAAAAGGGGGAACCTGTTGATATTGACAGGATAGTAGGAGCAACTACACGCTGTTGTTGCTCGGGCCACCATTCTGGAGGATTAGTCTGATTCCCAAACATATCAATGATCAGCCTCTCTCTGCTCTCCAATGGTCCCTGTTTGCTCATATGGATGGCTAGCTCTCTGAAAAGATCATGCTGCTCAAGGAAGTAGTTATTGTAATAATCGTCCAGGTCTTCCCTTCCAACCATCCTGCTCAAACCAGAACGTAACAAGAGATTTAACAAGTCTAGAAAAGAGAATAATGCAGAGTAGGCGTACTTGTACCTTCTAACTTTGATATCAGCAGCCAAATTCATGGCTATTAATTCTTGGGTGATGGCCATTGCAGGCAAGCTTGCTGGTTCATTGAGGTGATGCAGTTCACTCCACATGTCTATGAGTACAGTAATGGGGATTTTTTCATCTTCAGGGAATAACCCAAGGTCCATGAAGTATTCCCTGTGGGATTCATCCACTGAATCCTGGAGACGAGCAAGCAAATCTTGATGGGAATCAAGTATAGAGTGACCTTGCGACCATTTTGACTGCACCTGTCGAAGTGCCTGAACAGTACCCTTCCCTCGCAGTTCATGACCAACGGATTTAATAGCCAAAGGCAAACCCTTGCATCGTTCAAGTACCTGCATTTGAGTGATCAGCCAAATTCCATTTGAGACTTCTTGGATCCCCTTTTGTCAAAAATACGTTCGGCTGTTGTGAAGAGGCATTTGCTCTGCTTAGTGGGCCGTAT